TAAGAAAATGAAATTTATTGCTTACAGTTTTGGAGGCTGGGAAGTCCAAAGTCCAGGGAACCCATCTGGTGAGGGTCTTCTTTGATGGTGGCTTACAGCAATGCAGGGGGCTCACATGGCAGAAAATAGTGGAGCAGAGAAAGCGAGAGGCCAACCTCTTCACTCACTCTCCTTTTAAAGCCCTCAGGGCCACACGTGTGACCGCCAGGATTAATGCATTCACTAGAGCACTGTCCTACAACCTAATCACCTCTTTAAGGCCCCACCTTTCCATTCCCATAGTAGGACTTCTCACCCTCTTAATATTATCACAGTTGGGACCAGACTCCAACACATTAAACTTTTGGGAGGACACAATTCAATTCATAATATTCTACCCCTGGCCGCCCGCCAAACTCATGTCCTTTTCACACACAAATACATTCATTTCATCCCCAAAGTCTCAACTTGTTTCAATTTAAAGGTTCAAAGTCCAAAGTCCCATCTGTAAAATCAAAACAAGGAGATAACTTCCAAGATGCAATGGTGGAACAGTAATAGGGGTACATATTCCCATTCAAAAAGGAAGAAATAGGCCAAAAGAAAGGAGTAACAGGTCCTAAGTCATCCGAAACCCAGCAGGGCAGGTATTAAATCTCAAAGCTGGTGAGTCATGTACCTTGACTCCATGTTTGATGTCCCCTGCACGCTGGTGTCGGGGTTGGGTCCTCAAGTCCTCAGGCAGCTCCACTTCCATGACTTCCCTGGTCTGAGGCCATGCTTCAGCTCTCACAGGCTGCTGTTGCATGCTGGTAGCTACACAATTCTGGGATCTCCATGGTGGTCCTGCTCTCATGGCTCCACTAGACATGGCACTGTTGGAGTTTCTCTGCTGCAACCAGGCAGGACGTAATAGGGACATAAAAGGGACATGCCCCAGGGAGGCTGCTTATAAACATTCAGACTAGACTGGCACTAACCACCTTCTTGTCTGGCAGTTAATGAACTCATAATGAGCTAATGACAGCTTAATTACCCTAGATCTTCCCCCATGGCCAAATATTCCTCCCCTTAGATATGACAGAGAAACACTCTTGTCCCATAACAATACACAAACCCTCCCCTTTGGAATCCAAGGCACCTTGCAGAGATGCCTGTGCACAATGCTGTGCATACTTTCGCTTTTCAATAAAGTCCTATTGTTTGAATGTTCCCTGGGTCTATCCCTCTCTTCCTTTTCTTTTACTGAGCACCATGATGAAGACTCCACTTGGTCCTGTGAAGGATTTTTCTACAGTTTGACCAAAAACCTGGAACCACCATAAGATAACACAACTTGAACCCCACATTTCCATTTGGCATTGCTCTAGCGAAGGCTGTATGTGGTGACTCTGCCCCTGTGACAAATGTCTACCTGGGCTCCCAGGCTTTTCCATATATCCTTTGAAATCGTGGTGGAGGCTCCAAGCCTCCACAGCTCTGGCATTTTGTCAGCCTAAAGACCTAACACCATGGGCCGGCCCTGTGGCTCACTCGGGAGAGTGCGGCGATGGTAGCACCAAGGCCACGGGTTCGGATCCTGTATAGGGATGGCCAGTGCAATCACTGGCTGAGTGTGGTGCAGACCACACCTTGCGAAGGGTTGCGATCCCCTTACCTGTCAAAAAAAAAAAAAAAAAGACCTAACACCATGTGGACACCGCCAAGGCTTCCAGCATGTATCTTCCAAAGCTGTGGGTCCAGTCACACCTGTAGCCATTTAGCCACAGCTGGAGCAGCCAAAGCAGCTGTGGTGCTGGTGCTGGAAGCAGCTTCCCAAGATGGCCCTGTGCAGCGAGCCCAAGGAGGACATTTCATGTTTGTTTCCCAAGACCATTCTGTCTCCCTAGGCCTCTGGGTCTGTAATGGAAGGGTTGGTCCCAGAGGCTTCTGCAATGCCTTCAGGGTCTTTCTCCCCTTCTCTTGATAATCCCTTTCTTTTGTACTAATCTTCTTAGTACCATTGCATTTTTCTCCTGAAAATGTTCTCTGCTTCTCTACCACATGGCCAGGCCGCAAATTTTCCAAATCTTTATGCTCTGCTTCCATTTTAATTATACATTCTGCTTTATGTTATATCTTTTCTGCCATAACTCAGTGTAGGCTGTTGCAAGTAGCCATGCAGCTTCCTGAATGTTTTGCTGCTTAGACATTTCTTCTGCCAATTACTCTGGGTCAGTACCTTTAAATTTCACATTCCATAAAACTTTTGGGCATGAACAGAATGCAACCAAGTGCCTTGCCAGTTCATAGGAAGGGTAATCTTTGCCCCAGTTTCCAATAAGTCCCTTGCCAGCATGTAACCAGTCTCTAAGGTGTTCCAAACTTTCCCTCATCTTTTTGACTTCTGAGTCATCGTCCTCCAAACTCCTCCAACCTTTGACTAACACCCAGTTCCAAAGCCGCTTCCACATTTTCAAGCATTTGTTATATAAGCAAAGTCCCACTTCTCTGGTACCAATTTTCTGTATTAGTCCATTTCTGTTGCTTATAATGAAATACATGGAACTGGGTGATTTATAAGAATATGAAATTTATGGCTTGCAGTTTTGGAGGCTGGGAAGTCCAAAGTCCAGGGAACACATTTGGCAAGGGCCTTCTTTGGTGGTGACTTTAGAGCAATGCAGGAGTCTCACATGGCACAAAATGGCAGAGCAGAGAAAGACTCTCATACACTCTCCTTTTAAGCCCTCACAACCATGCCCCTGACCACCATTATTAATCCATTCACTACTGCATGGTCCTACAATGTAATCACCTATTCAAGGCCCCACCTTTCAATTACCATAATATGACTTCCCACCCTCTAAACACTGTCACAGTGGGGACCAATCCTCCAACATATTAAACTTTTTTTTTCCTCCCCCCAACATATTAAACTTTTGAGGGGACACAATTCAATCCATAACATGGGTGATTCTGACCACCTGCCAGGTGTGGACTCCAATGGGCTCATTGACTACCTTCACTTAGAATATCAGATGAGGTAAGTGGCTCTCCCAAGGCCACAGACTTTATTGGTGAGGAAACTGGGTTTCAGAAAGATTTAGTGGGGTTTCCCAGGCCACAGAGCTAATTAGGAATGAATGGAGTTACCAATGAGGCTTTTCTGTAGCTGTGGCTTCCTGCAGAGTGGCTGTAATGGATCTAACCACAGCCTGGGGGGGCCCTTGCCCTCCTGGAGGGTGGCAAGACAGTCAGGGTGACAAGGCAGAGTCAGGAGTTATTTTGGTGGCTTCAGGCGAGAATCGGGTCTTCTTAAGACCCTGCAGCCCTGAAACTTCGGCTGGTGACTGTGGGGACATTCTCTCTGCCAACACAGAGGGCAGGTGAAAGGAAGATTTAGCTCTCTTCTGTGTTTTGGTGAATTTGCCCTGAGTTTCAATGGGAGAACTGAGCTCCGTGGGATGTAATAACTGAATGAATGTTTGGAATAATAACAATTTAATGTGAGAACTTTTATTAAACACTTGCTATGTGCTGGGTGAGAAAGATCTGGGATCGCACTATTCACTGTCATGTTGAAAGGAACACGGACACCATAAGCCTTTTGATATGGACTGCCACATTGTGTCAAAGCCCTGGGAAACCACACTGAGAGACAGGTTGTCTTCTAGAGCCCAAGCTGAGGCTTTAGATTAAAAAGGCACACAGCATTGCTGGCTTGCACTGTAGCAATAGAACAGATCATTGCTAGCATTTATCTCACTATAAACTAGACACCTTCACAAGTTAATTTTATCCCTCGAGATGGGTATTATTATCCCAGTTTCATAGATGAAGAAACTAAGACTGAGCTAAGGGATTGACCAAGGTCACAGAGATGCAAGTGATATAGTCAAGACTCGAATCCAGGTGTGCCTGATATCAAAGCCCAAGCGCACAGAGATGAGCCACTTTGTCCCCTTTTCTGCTCTCTCTGACGGCTACATGCATGTCTCAGTAGACACCCATGTTATCCAAGGCAGGCATGGCATGCTGCACTGGGTTCTATACTCCCTGCTGCACCTAACACCATTCCCCACCCATTGTAAATAAGCAAAATTTACCAAATTGAGATAGAGAAATAAAGTAATGAAAGAGGCTTGCCTCCACACATAGAAATCTAGAACTTTTAGTCATTTTCACATGAAGCCATATCAAAATAAGAATAAACTGCTCAGAAAACAAGATGGGTTAAACAAAAAGTTGTAATCGATGAAATTATTTTTTCACTTGGTTTTCGATGAAACATTAAAAAGAAAATCTAAGGTGGGAAAAGGGGAGGAGGAAGGAGGTTATTGAAAAATTGGTTAATGGACACAAGGGCCGGCCTGGTGGTGCACTCGGTAGAGTGCGGCGCTTGGGAGTGTGGCGGCGCTCCCGCCGAGGGTTCGGATCCCATATAGGGATGGCCGGTTAGCTCACTGGGTGAGCGTGGTGCTGACAACACCAAGTCAAGGGTTAAGATCCCCTTACCGGTCATCTTTAAAAAACAAAACAAAACAAAAAAACCCAGAAATGTACTAGTCAACGATTCTTGCTGAAGCTTTTGCCGCCTTTTCAAAATCTGGAAGAAACACAGCGGTCGATTCCTTTAATTTCAGAAGCATGTGGCTCCATTTGTAATAATAAAAAAAAATATATTTTAATTACATCGACATCATTTCATTCGTAGGATTGACTTCAATAAAACGCACCTGCTGAACGAGTGGAGCTAAACTAGGGAAAGCCCGGTTGCCGTCACCGAGGTAACGGGGGCGGGGCCATTGCCGCATCCTGGGAAGCGCAGCGAGAACTCTCGGAGGAGGTTTGGCCCGCAGGCCACGCCGTAGATCGCGATGCATTCTGGGCCTTGGCAAGATGGCGTCCTCCTTGATGTGCTGATGAGAGTTTTACTGCAGCTCCAAACCAGAGGGCAAAACTCCCGTCACCCGAAAAGCCCACATTATCTATTTTCTCCGGGAGTCCACGTCGGCCGTTTCTCAGGACTCGTTCTCAGGCAGGAGACATCCACGGAGCCGGAGGCCAGGACCAGCCAGGCCGCGCGGACCCGGGGCTGAGGAACCGGCTGCGGGCGAGCACGATGGGCCGGTCCTGGCTCTGGTTGCAGCAGCTCAGGCGAGTGCGGGACCCGCAGGGCTGAGAGCGGCCGGAGGACATCCGAGGCGCTCTGAACCTGTTTCTCTCGGCCGGAGACCTCAGCCCCGTCGGCCCAGTCGGCGAACCGGCACCGAGAGCGGGCGGCCGGCCTGTCCTGGGATCTGCTGAGGCGTCGGAGGCCGAGAGCAGGGTCACCGTGAGGCCTCAAGTCTCTCACGCCTTTGACAGCTCCGCTCGCGGCCCCTCCGGGACCGTGCGGCCTCAGAAACAGCCAGTGGCTTGGGGCCTGGGGGTGCGTGTGTCTGTGCGGAGCTCCGCGGGCTGCCCCAGTCCCCACCAGCTCTTCGCACCCGCCTTCGACTTCCCGCGCAGAGTTAGACACAGGATCTCAGACTTGTGTCCGAGTACGGGTCTCCGCACCCTCTCCGTTCATTTATTTTACGACTCCCCTTTTTTTCTACTTCTTATTTCACCAATTCTGGTACAAACTAGTTTTTAAGGCTGGAGGTTCTCGAGCGCTTGTTGCCAAGGACTCCTCCACCTCCTCCCCCCGCAATGGAGTCCGAAATGCTGCAGTCGCCTCTTCTGGGACTCGGGGAGGAAGATGAGGCCGACCTTACGGACTGGAACCTGCCTTTGGCTTTTATGAAGAAGAGGCACTGTGAGAAAATCGAAGGCTCCAAGTCCTTAGCTCAGAGCTGGAGGATGAAGGATCGGGTAAGTGGATTCCGACGGCCCCCCTTGTACTTGGTAGTTTTTTTGTTTGTTTGTTTGTTTGTTTTTTAAACGAAGAAAGTTTAGAGCCAGAAGAGTTTCCTTGGGAAAACGCCGGTATTTTATTCCTAGCCACATGCTGCGAGTCAACTGAAAAGCAAGAGACATTTCAGACTTCAATTTTTGGTTGAAAAATGGGAAAGGCTGTTTTGGTTAGTCTTTATTAACTAGGTAGTGTTAATTAAGTTCAAACTGAGTTCCAAGTCAGACAAGAAAAGTTAAGCAAATTCGAAAATGCAGCATTGCAAGTATTTACATGCTCTTTGATATTCTCAGTGCTGTTAACATAGAGGAAAGACAACGTGGGACCTAACCCTTGTACCCACGTGGTTAGTCTACTTTTGTGGTTAGTCTACTTTTTTAATATCCGAGCTGGGTGAAGTGCAGAAATCTGATATAGTATGCTAGGAAACAAGATTACTGGAAAATGTTCAGCTAGTAACAAATTAATGCAAAGTTATTTTAAAGTTACAGTGAACTTCATTCTAGTCTTCTAAACAATTTCTCTTGAAGCCAGGCTCTCCTCCTTTTGTGTGGTGTCCTGTTGCCATAACTTGGAGACAAAATTTCTTCAATAGTGGAGTTAGGAACTTGGATCCAGGTTTTAGGGGGTCCTCCTGATGTTGGAGTGTGGACAGTAACTCACAAGCAGTGGTAGGAAAACAACCAATTTTGTTGAATCTGTCCTTCATCAACCACCATCTATTTTCTGGTCTCCAAAGCAAAAGGGTGGTAACTACGTCTATGCGCACTTTAATTTGTCTTTTTGCGATTTATTTTTCCTTCCAAGCTGCTTTTATTTATTTGAACATTCAGTGGTATAAAGGGGGCAGTTGGTATTACTACGTGATTTCCGTTAGGCTTATGTATATGTTTATAGAAGATTATTATTTTTTAGTATATGATTTTGAAATTATATAAGAACATTTATGGTAATTCTAGCCATTCAGTCACTAGTGACCAATGCTTCAGTTATTGATTTGGCTAACTTTTAAAAAGTTAGGAAAGTTTATTTTATCCAAAAGCATTAAGGAGTAAAACTAATCGGCCATTGGGAGGGGTTGTATAAAGTCTGTCTTATGGACATCTTTAGTACTAATTATGTAGTTAAAAGCTTTTGTGGATGCTATGCATATATGAAAAGCAACTTACTTTATTTTTTTGGTGTTTTATCTTTTTTCTTTTTTTTGGCTGACTGGTACAGGGACCTTGGTGTTATCAGCACCGTGCTCTAACCAACTGAACTTACTGGCCAGCCTGAAAAGAAATTTACTTTAAAGCAACTCTGTCTAATCACTTTTTAATTCTGTTTGGAGGATTTTTGTTGTTGTTGTTGTTGTCATTGGCTGGCCAGTACAGGAATCGAACCCTGGACCTTGGTGTTTTCAATACCACACTTTAAGCAATTGGAGGGCAATTTTTTTGGTTGTTCTTTTGAATTGTGGTTCCCTCTGCTACCCTATACCTATGTTCAAACTGTTCAGAACTGATTACTGAATATGTTTTGACCTTTTAATTAAAACATTAATTTATAAATGATCAACAGTTCCTGATAAGCGCCTTACAGGTTGTTTTTTTATTTTTTATTTTTTTCCTTTTTGTCTTTTTTACTGACCGGTAACGGGATCGCAACCCTTGGTGTCGCGCCCGTACCGGGGACCGGCAACGGGATCGCAACCCTCGGTGTCGCGCCCGCACCAGTCTCCACATGGGATCCGAACCCTCGGCGGGAGCGCCGCTGCGCTCCCAAGCGGCGCACTCTCCAGTGCGCCACCAGGCCGGCCCAGCCTTACAGGTTATTAAGAGAAACAAAAGTTCTGTAAATCTTAGTAACTACTGAGATTGCTACTTAGAAAAGAGCAAGGGAAGAAGTTTTGCTGTAACCCACGTTTGCAAATTGTTCAATAAAGAAGAAAATTAGCAGGTACCATTTTTAAAGTTTGCATGAAACTCAGCAACCGTAATAACTTCGTATAGCATACATTATACGAAGTTATACGAGCGGGAGCGCCGCTGCGCTCCCAAGCGGCGCACTCTCCAGTGCGCCACCAGGCCGGCCCAGCCTTACAGGTTATTAAGAGAAACAAAAGTTCTGTAAATCTTAGTAACTACTGAGATTGCTACTTAGAAAAGAGCAAGGGAAGAAGTTTTGCTGTAACCCACGTTTGCAAATTGTTCAATAAAGAAGAAAATTAGCAGGTACCATTTTTAAAGTTTGTGAGAGTTTGTCATCTTAAAGAGCCCTGTAGTCTCCTTCCTTATGTCAGACCCTGAGGGGACCTTTCCAGTACACCATACTAGGACAAAGGTTGCAAATTCAAATGATACAAAGAGTTGGAAAGTAGCATAAATAAATGAAATAGGCCAGAATTGAGAATAACGGCAGATGTTCAAAGACAAACACAGGTGGTATTTGACTCAGTGTCTGGTGGATTTTCTGGAGGGTGGGAACAGTAGGGCTCTGGAGTATACATGTCACAGGTGAAGGGGCGGCTGGACCTTGGCCACGTCTCTCTCTCTTTTTCTTTGATAAGCCAGAAAACTTTTTTGTTTTTTAATGTGAAGTCTTACACGCTTGGGAGTGTGGCGGCGCTCCCGCCGAGGGTTCGGATCCCATATAGAGACCAGTCCACTCACTGGTTGAGCGCGGTGTGGGCGTGACACCGAGGGTTGCGATCCCGTTGCCGGTCACGAAAAAAAAAAAGACAAAAAAAAAAAAAGAAAGAAATTAATTCAGCCAAACACTCTGGTTCACAACTTTTTAAGTTCCAACTTCCACAAAGTCCCAGGGCATTGACACAATGCAGCCAAGTTCCTTGCCAATACATAGCAAGGTTGATCTCCACCCTGGTTTCCAATAAGTCCCTTCTCATTTACATCTGATACCTTCTTAGAGTGGTCTATATAGTCCATATTTCCATAAGCAGACTGCTCACGAACATTCCAAACTTTCCCTGGTTTTCTTGTCTTCTAAACTTTCACCAGCATCTAGGCTTTTTCTACCTTGTTCCTCCAAATTCTTCCAGCCCCTCCTCAACACCCAGTTCCAAAGCAGCGGGATCGCAACCCTCGGTGTTGCTCCCATGCCTCGCTCAGCCAGTGAGCGGGAACCGGCCTGTATGTGGGATCCGAACCCTCGGTGGGAGCGCCGCCGCGCTTCTCAAGCGGTGCACTATAGCAGTGCGCCACCGGGCCGGCCCGAAGTCTTACAATTTTTAAGTATTGGTACTAATTCAGATGTTACAGAACAGTGCAGTCCAACACTGCAGGCTAAACAAAGTCCATTTGGGGCACGTTTTGGCTAGTGGGTTACTTGTGTGACTTCTACTCTATTATGGCAACTCTAGGCAGCCGCTCTGACTCTGGAAACCTGGAGCACCCAGGCCTCCAGACCAAACTGTCCCACCGTGCGGGAGGTGGCCTCCAGAAGTCTAATGCTTTGTAAAGCAACACGTGTGGGCCTGGTTGTACTGTACCAGGAGCGACATTGACCAGTTCCTAGTGGCATTGACTGTCCTAAATGCAGGCTCAGTTTTTGCTTCATCCTGTGATTAATATGTAAGCCCATATAATTTTATTCTGTATATAAATTAATGATTACTTACTGGTGTCTTACGTAGCGGCCTTGTTACAGATTCCTAAAATTGACATTTTTCCCCAAGTTGACTGATGACTCCAAGAAGTTTTCTGTCACTCAGCATTCAGCATCCTTCCAGAGCTACAGCACATGTCCACTCTCAGTTGGGATTCCTATAATCTTTGTTTTGAATAGTCCTGGTTTTCAAGTGTCACTATTACCACATTTTAATTACTGTTATGCATTGCTTAATGACTGGGAATACATCTGAGAAATGCATTGTTAGGTGATTCAGTCCTCATGCAAACATCGTAGGGTGCACCTGCACAAACCAGAATGGTATGGCCTACTGCAGGCACCTAGGCTGCATGGTATATCCTGCTGCTCCTAGGCTACAGACCCGGCCAACATGTGACTATGCTGAATGCCTTAGGCAACTGTAACACAATGGTATTTGTGTATCTAAAAATATCTAAACACAGAAAAATATCTAAACTACAATGTTACCTCAGCTCTGGCATCACTAAGTGATAGGAGTTTTTCATCTCCATTATAACCTGATGGGATTACTGTCATATATGTGGTCTGGCATTGACCGAAATGTCATTATGTGGTGCTTGAATGTGCTAAGTTACTGTTAGATGAATGTATCTCCCCCATTGTGTTTTACTATGCTACTTTATAGTTATCACAGAGTTCATTTTCCCACTGGAAAGTGGGGATAATTGGTCTTCATTTTTTTTTCTTTGGCTTTTGCCTGGTACGGGTTTAGAACCTTGCACTTTGGTGTTATCAGCACCATGCTCTAAAGCAAGTGAGCTAACCAGCTAGCCTGCTGGTTTCGGATCTTTTGCCTGGAATATTTGGGATAGAACCAGAGAGCTATTGCTCTGAAAGAAACCACTGATGGACACACTATGTCTACATGCATGTACAACCATTGACAGACACTATTTCTGCACACGTGTAGGACAGACATGCTATTTCTACACATATAGAACCACTGACAGACCTGCTTTGTCTACACATGTGTCAGACCACCAACAGACATGTTGTGTCTGCATGTGTGTAGATGTACCTATGAAATAAGGAAGCCTATTTCCTAAGCCAGTCTCTAGGTGCAGTGTATGGCTGGCTTTGTAGCCATACTTTGAACAAGCCATGGAGGAAGCAGAGTAGGTACATTAAACTAATACACAGGTGTTACAATGTTTAGATTGTCCTTCAAGCAAGGGTAAACAGTAATACTTTATAATCGCATGTTGCTCCTTCTACTCACCTCACCTCACATCATCTCCTCAATCTACTCCAATCAGGCTGTTCCACTCCACCGAGACTGCTCTCGACATGGTCACCATTTGCTGCT